CTGAAAAAGTCTTAATATTGTAACTGTGTGAGATAATAGCTCAATATAAATTTTAATTCAACTGAGTTCTAAGAACCATGTAATATTATCTGCAGTGTAATTTGAATTTGGCATCTGAGAAACATGATATTCCTGAGTACCATATGTGCATGATGATCCCAGAATAGAGAATGAGCAATGTGCTTCATGACATGTTTAGATTATGCACAGTGACATCAGAATTGCTTGGGATTAGTATTAGCTGTAGCTTTTATTATGATCACAATAAACAAAGCAGAATATGTAGACATAGAAAGGGATTTAATGGACAGGCAGGGCATATACTGTGTGTATGTATATATATATATATATATATATATATATATATATATATATATATATATATATATATATATATACACACACACATACATACATACATACATACATATATACATAATTTCTATTTTTTAAATTTCTATAATATTTTGTGTCATACAACAAAGTGAATGAAGGAAATAGAATAGAATTCTTTATTGGCCAAGTGTGATTGGACACAAAGAATTTTCTTTGGTGCATATCCTCTCAGTGTACCTAATAAGACAAGATACATTCATCAAGAATCATAAGGTACAACACTTAATGATAGTCATAGGGTACAAATAAGCAATCAGGAAATAATCAATATTAGTATAAATCTTAAGGATACAAGCAACAAAATTATAGTCCTCCAGTCATAAGTAGGAGGAGATGGGTGATAGGAACGATGAGAAGACTAATAGTAATAGTAATGCAGCCTTAGTGAATAGTTTGACAGTGGTGAGGGAATTATTTGTTTAGCAGAGTGATGGCATTCAGGGAAAAACTGTTCTTGTGACTTGTTTTGGTGTGCAGTGCTCTATAGCGCCGTTTCAAGGGTAGGAGTTGAAACAGTTTTTGTCCAGGATGCGGGGTGTCTGTAAATATTTTCAAGGCCCTCTTTTTGACTTGTGCAGTGTTCAGGTCATCAATGGAAGGCAGGTTGGTAGTAATTGTTTTTTCTGCAGTTCTAATTATCCTCTGAAGTCTGTGTCTGTCTTGTGGAGTTGTAGAGCCAAACCAGACAGTTATAGAGGTGCAGATGACAGACTCAATAATTCATCTGTAGAACTGAATCAGCAGCTCCTTGGGCAGTTTGAGCTTCCTGAGTTGGCACAGAAAGAACATTCTTTGTTGTGCTTTTTTGATGAGGTTTTTGATGTTAGTCTATTTTACATATTGAGATACGTATGATAGAACCTAGAAATTTGAAAGTCTCTACTGTTGATACTGTGTTGTCTAGTATTGTAACAGGTGGTAGGTAGTATGGTAGGTTTCTCCTAAAGTCTACGGTTTTGAGTGTGTTCAGTTCCAGATTATTCCGGTCACACCATGAGGCTAGTTGTTCAACCTCCCATCTGTATGCGGTTTCATCATTGTCTCAAATGAGACCAATCACTGTTGTGTCATCTGCAAACTTCAGTAGTTTAACAGATAGAACATTTTAGACGCAGTCCCGTTTTTGTGAAAACAGGCCCGGTTTTGGTCAAAAAAAGGGCACGAATAGCCTTTAGGAGGCTTATAGAGTGCTCCTGAGGGCTTTGGGGGGGGGCGGGAATTGAGCAAAAAATGGCCTGTTTTTCACTCATTTCATTTGCATGGCCATTTTAGTGAAGGGGGCGGGGTTTCAGGAGGCAAAAAATGTTACATTCAGTGTATAAGATGCACCCAGATTATCACCCTATTTTTTGAGGGAAAAGGGTGTGTCTTATACTCTGAAAAATATGTTATATGGAAAAGTGGAAAGAGCACACATCCCTGGGGGGCTCCTGTGCTAATTGTACAAATATCTGGTGTGATTTTGCCTAGTTTCACCTGCTGCTTCCTGTCTGTTAGGAAGTTAACAATACTCTGAGCTTATAATTTTACACATCAAACATAATTATAATTGTCTAGTTCAGAATGCTGATTTCCAGCTGCATCAGCCAATAGTAAATGAGGGTTCCTGTTCCCACATAGTCATTACTTGGGCGTGTGAATTAATTGGCTTTTCCTTCAGATGTATTGTAGCAAAAATCATAAACCTTCCAGTGTAGAGGAAGGTAGTTTTCCCATTGGCAGAAGCTCACTCCTCGCCTTGCTTCACAACTCCTCTCTCTCTTAAAACAATCACTTCTTGGCTTATTGTAACATAACCAAAACAAAGTACTTTGGCAGCTTGTCCATTGCTAGATTAAAAAAAAAATCTACTACTTATTTTCAGTGTAGGTAGTCCTTGAGTTTGGATCACAATTGAATAATTTCTACTGTTAAGCTGTAAAATAAGTCATGCCCAATCTTATGACTTTTGCTATGGTTGTTAAGCAAAACACTGTGGTTGTTAAGCAAAACACTGCAGTTGTTAAGTGAATTACAGAATTATGTAAATTTGGCTTGTCAATCACATGACTCTGGGACACTGCAATTGTTATATCCGAGTTGCCAAGTACCCTAATTTTGATCACATGACCTTGGGGTACTGTCGCAAATACAAGGACTGGCCACAAGTTACTTTGTTTAGCACTATTATAATTTCAAATGGTTGTAAGTCGTGGATTACATTAAAGTTGAACCAATTACCACAAAATAGGTTTTTTAAAGACTTCACGATGCGGCCAAACTTCATGATGTGGCCTTTATACTATTGACTTGGCCTCTGTGTTGCTCCTAGAATTTATTATTTACATGGCCATATGTTGAACTGGATACCGTCTTGTGGTAGTTTATGAGTGATAACATCAACAACATGCACTGGAAAATATAGAAACAATACAGTATTGCTTCCCCCCCCCCCCAAGATCATCATTCAAACCAAATATTTGGCTTAACCAATTGCAATAAACTGCAAACTATTGTCATTTTATTATTTATTTTGCTTTTTGTGGGACTTAAATTTACAGTTTGGTAGTCAAATTTGGAAGGTTTCTGAAGTTTCGGTCTGTATTAAAAGGTAAAAAGAAAATCCTTCGTGTACAAATGTATTGGAAGATTAGAATAATTTACTCCAACAAGGTTTAGCTGTAGTATTATATTAACATTTCCCACTTTTAAATTCTTTTCAATGGGAAAGAGATACTGTATTGCAAGATGTATTGGGTTAATCAGCAGTGTAAATTGCCATTGCCTTTAGCATTACCTTAGATGTGTTAATGCATATTTATTTCATAATTAGAGAACATGTTTATTTAAAAATTTTCTAAAGTGCCATCTATAACTGACAGTGTCTTTATTAAATGCACACACACACATATGTATGTGTGTCTCTTCAGAAAAATATATCACTAACCTCTTTTCAACTATGTGTAGTTGCATTCTCACAAGCAATCTAGTCAGAAGAGAAAAAGAAGAGGTAGAATCTGGCCTTAAGTGATATGCAGTACTGCAGGCTATTTCTGCTGACTGCCGGCTGCCAGCAGTTTGATTCTCACCGGCCCAAGGTTGACTCAGCCTTCCCTTCTTCTGGTAAAATGATGACCCAGTTGTTGGAGCAATATGCTGACTCTGTAAACTACTTAGAGAGGGCTGTAAAGTGATATGTAAGTCTAAGTGCTATTGTTAGTGGGTGCTTAACACTAATCTGTATACATGGGGCTCTTCTTCATGGCATAGCGCCATCCACCAGTCCTTGAGGCAGCAGAAAATCTCAACAAAATAAAATATGCTGCCCCTTGTGACACCACCACCCCCTGCTGCGGACATGATGCTATGTGCCATTTACATTTATGGCAGGCGTACTTTATACAGGGCATGTTAAGGACATGCCTGGTCCCATGGCTTTGTTTCCTTCCCTTTCCACCAAACTTCATCAGTTGGCAGGAAAATGTATACCAAATACTCTGAGATGTACTCAGAGGTGCAATGGGATGAATCTGGGATAAGTTTGTTTTTTTACAAATTGCTGGACTAGCAACCTTACCCATTTATCAAAACCCGCTCTGGTTTGGCACAGAATACTTAGATATGCTCAAAGCTGATGATCAGGCTCCTTTGGACCAGGGGCCTTGCACTACTAATCCTGACAGTTTGTCCAAGATAATCTGATTCTGGGATAGCATTAAGCTGCTGTCCAAAAGAACAGAACTCTTGTAGCAAAACTATGAGATTCCTTTTTGACACTAGTTTAACTTCATTCAGGTGAGCGCTACATCCACGTTCAAAAAGTCTGAACAACAACAACATCAACAGTAGCTAGGCAAGTTGCATCATGAAGCAGCCGCAAAGAAAGAAACGGTCGTCTCCTATTTCAGTATGGAGTCCATCCCTACTCTGCTGTTTCAGGTTGATTCAGGTCTCCGAACTTGGAAGATGCAGCCAGGACAGGTTTGAAGGAGACTCTCCTGTTGTCAAAAGCAGAAGGGCCCTGGAAAACAAGGCTGACAGACACGAAAGGTGGGGGTACGCCTGCCCCAGCCTAAAGTGATGAATAGGGCAGGGATGATTCTATCCTGGGAAGGGGGAGGTTTTACCTGACTCTTAATACCGGGGTTGACGGAGTGTGTCAAATTGCACAAAAGCCTAAACTGCTGCGGGTTGTTGCCTGCTTCATACAGTACATGTTTTTGGAGACGAGATCAAAACAATGTCATGAGGGCACGGCAAAAAAAGTTGCCCGGGCACGTTCTTGGCGTGCATCGGAGAAAGCGGTGGAAAAGCCCGAGCTGTGAAATTGCAATGACTCGAGCATGCGCTTTGGAGCCCTTCCTGAGTGCAAAATCCCATAGCTCCCATCCCGATTGGCCGTCTTCATTTCCTCATCGGCATTCCAGGCGCGAGGATAACCGTAGCCAGATTTTAACAAGATCCGAGAGTGTGAGTGGGCGCGCGCGCGCTCTCGTTCGTTCGCTCGCTCGTTCGTCAGAGCGAAAGGGAGGGGGAGCCCGCATCGCGGCCCGGAATCTCGCGAGATAATTTCCCGCTTTCCCCCCACCCCTTCCTTTAGACGGGTCAGGATTCTTCGAGATTTCTCTACGCTGCCGCTTCGCCTGTCCCTTTCCCCCCGCCCCCACCAGCGCGAGGAGGCAGCCGGAGTCGCGTGCTGCGGCAACCCATTTAAACAGTCGGAGCGGCTGCTCCGGGTGAACTGCAAAAGGCTCCCGCGGCGGTGAACTGCTTTCTTCCCCCTCAGGCGGCGGCCGCTCAGGGTTCTTCTTCTCTTCCTCCGCTCGGTTCTAGTTTCTTCGTCTGCCCGGCCAGCCGGCCCCTTGCGATCTTCTTTTGAAGTAGGCCTCTCGGGCCTCTCTCGGGCATTTCTTTCCCTCGTCCCCGAAGGCACCATGTCCGTGCTGGGAATCGATCTGGGCTTCCAGAGCTGCTATGTGGCCGTGGCCCGCGCGGGGGGGATCGAAACGATCGCCAACGAGTACAGCGACCGCTGCACCCCGTGAGTAACTCCTCCGGCGGGAAGCCGGGGATCCAATTTATGGCGAAAGCTCCGGGGTATGGAGGAAGGGTGGGGGGGGGTGGCGGAGAAAACGCCGCAACGGGGACAGGAAGCGCCGCAAACTTGTCAGGTGCGGTAACCCCCGAGCGCCGGTGGCCTAGAAAACGCCGCCATCCTCACTTAAGCTCTACCTTCTCGCTAGAATTGGAAAGAGGTAAGAGGTGATTATCACCCGGAGCGGCCACACCTTTGGGCTTTCAAAGCAGAGGGAACGAGAGAAAAAAGGGCGCCCTTAATAATTCGTGAGTAATGCGAGGTGCCGCTGCGCCTAGGAGGAATACTTTTTTTCCCTCCCTCCCTCCCTCCCTCCCTCCTGCTCTCTCTGCCCTCCGCCCCACATGGAGATGTTCCTGAAAAAAGGGAAGGGGAATGGGTTCGGAACCGGCCAGTGGAGGAGCCGACTGCTTGGGCAGAGGAAGGGGGAAGTAACCCGGTTTAAATGTTTCTGAAGCTGCCTTCCTAAAACTGCGGCATGCCTCAAGGGATGGCCGCTATGATTTGAAAGATCATCCTAACCGAAATTGTTTTTAAAAAAAGCTAATCCACGCAGGAGCTTTTACAGTTTACATAAACCAATATGGCTATTAAGTTTGTATTTTTATCTTTTATTCCGTTGGGCAGAGAAGGAGAAGGTGTAGTGTTCACATAATTGAAAGTAGGCGTCCTTGGAAGGAGAGGGGGTGTAGGTTTCATCCAGTCTGAAGGGAAATTCATGAGGTTATCAGTTTGCCTCTAGTGTAACTTCAATGCTGTTCTAGAAAGATCCTACTTAATACTATTTTAAAGAAATGCTATTTTAAAGATAACGTCCTGTATAGTAGGTAAGTAAAGCCAACTTGTAAAATATGTGCAGTGCAACGCAGCAATGCATATACTCTGATGAAGAAATAGCATAGGACTGGGCTTTGGATCATCAGTGGGTGATTTGCAGTAATGTTGTAAAATGTATTTATTGTTTAATATTAGCATCAACAAAATCTCTCTTTTCCTCCAATCCTTCATTGTACTTTGATATTATTTGTATGCAATTCTAATTTACAATTTTTCTATGCTTCTGCCAATAGTTGTATTTTCTTTCCAGTGCTGCTCTTTCCCTTCCGCTAGTTTTAATATTTAATATTGAATTGAAAAACTCCATTCTGTTTAATTTTATTTAAACAAAGAATGTAAATTGGAAGAGATCCAAAGAAGTGCATCAAAAATAATCAGAGACTGGGAACGTGGTATCTTTACTTTTGAAGAGAAAGTTGAGGAGGGATGTGAGAGCCATTCTCTTGTATTTGAAAGAATACCATACAAAAAAGGCAGTGACAGATAAAGCATTGTTGTATTAATTGCAAGAAAAAAGCTGGTGCTTGAATGTTATTTTTAAGTTTACAAAAGAATAGTTGACAGAAGAATCAATGAGAAGAGGTGGTGGGCTTTTCCTTTACTGGATGTGTTTCTTTCTACACTGAACATGAAGTTGGATTCCATTATTTTACGTAAATTACCTCTTGCAAATCTGTACTTTCTTAGGAAGAGGTTATTTGTCTTCACGGAGATAAATTGAGTTTAATGTGATTTGTCACATGGTTAACTGTTCAATGAGAAACTAGTTAAGTGTTTCTGAAATCAGGTTCACTACAGTCAAGTATATCCCTCAGTGTAGTAGTGGGGAAACTTTAGTGCCCCTAATTCTTAATCAGCCCAACATTGATAAACATTGTAGTCTAGCAATATACAGAAAGCCAGAATTCTGCCATAAAAGCTTTGATTACATCAAGAAAATTAACTCTTGACAGGTTAATGGAAACAGTCATAGTATACTCTAGCTATCCACTTAGTTAACTTATCATTCGATGCTGCTTTATTTTCCTTAAAGATACTAGAAACCCTTTTTTAAACTCCACATTAAAGAACTCTGATCTAGAATTTTGGTTTGGGAAATTTTATATTTTATAAACCTTGGAAATAGAATCATTGTTAAATCCTACATTTTAGAAAAGGTAATATTGCATTCTGGATTTATTTTAAATTCTGAATTTACATATGTTCCATTTTGTAAATAAATCGTTATAGCTGCACAGTATTTACATTTCTGATTTTTTTTTCAGATTATTAATCATGGACATGCATGTCCTTCATCCTTCCTTTATGTCATTATTTTGATCTGTGCAATTCTAGTCCCTTTTTAGGCATGAAAACTAGCTGGGTGACTTTGGGCTGGACATTCAACCCAACCCACCTCACACAGTTATTGTTCTGAGGAATAGCAATAGCAGTTAGACTTATATACCGCTTCATAGGGCTTTCAGCCCTCTCTAAGCGGTTTACAAAGTCAATTGCCCCCACAGTCTGGGTCGTCATTTTACCCACCTCGGAAGGATGGAAGGCTGAGTCAACCTTGAGCCGATGAGATTTGAACCGCCGAACTGCAGCTTAGCAATCAGCTGAAGTGGCTGCAGTACTGCACTCTAACCACTGCACCACCTCGGCTTATCATGTTGAATTACTTATAAAGGCAGGATAAATAAATTATTTTTCAGTGTTAGGCAATGTGAGTTTGGGCAGCCATGCACACTGCTTTAAAATTAGTTATTCTGTACTGTATATTGTTCTATCTGTAATTAATGCGTATTGACTGCAGCAATAAAACAAGCACCTTTTTCAGTGTACCACATTTTTCATGAAGCATACTTGTGGTTTTCAGTTTTTGAGTGAATTTCATAGCACATATCTTCTGTGGGATGAAATAGCATCTTAATCAGACAGAGAGGTTTTTTAAGTATTGATATTATAGTGTCGCATAGTCAACTAAATGTTTAGACTGGATTTGGCATTTTTGTCCATCTATCAAGTCTGTCCCAAGGATTATTATTATCATCAAATTTTATGTGCTGCCTTTCTCTTGGTTCAAGGCAACTCTGAAGATGACTCTGAAAAGATAAAGTACTATATATGTATCTCTTCAGGCTCTCTTGAAAATCTGTTTCTTAAAAATAGGAGAATCCAAGTCAGTAACATGATGAATAATAATCCTAAAATCATTTGCCTATAAATTTATCTATAAAAAGTTCATCCACCAAAAAAGCTAACTTTTTGGAGAAAATTAGTTGGACTGTGTTGAATGGATAACTAAAAAAGATTTGTGCTCCATAGAAGCAACTTTAATTTACCAAGATTTATTTATTTATTAGATTTATACCTCACCTTTCATATTTTATAAGTAACTTAAACAGGAAACATACACAGTATTCCTTTCCTCCTCCTATTTTCCCCACAATAAGATGACACAAGTCTATTAGGAAATGTGTTCTAATTAAAAAAATGATCTTTATAATAAATTCATTGAGGGCACCTCATTAAGTTTCATATCATTTAAGCTTACTCATTGTTTTATTTTTGAAACCTATATTGAAACTGAACTACTACTGTGATCTAACTTTTAAAACTACTTTTTTATTTTATGTTAGGTCATGTGTATCATTTGGACCCAAGAACCGTTCAATTGGAGCTGCAGCCAAGAGCCAGGTGAGACTTTTATTTTAATTTTTTAATAATTACATAATTGCTAGAAAAATGAAAACATTGAAACATCATTTTTTGTGTGTGTGTTAAAACAGTTCTGTTAAATATTTCATATTCAAGCTTAATGATGTTGAATTCTTGAAACATTTATGTTTTCTATACTATGTTTGCTTATCTTATAAGCAGTAGTAGCAGTAGCAGTAGACTTATATACCGCTTCATAGGCCTTTCAGGCCTCTCTAAGCGGTTTACAGAGAGTCAGCATATTGCCCCCAACAATCTGGGTCCTCATTTTACCCACCTCGGAAGGATGGAAGGCTGAGTCAACCCTGAGCCAGTGAGATTTGAACCGCTGAACTGCTGATCTAGCAGTAGCCTGCAGTGCTGCATTTAACCACTGCGCCACCTTGGCTCTTTTAAAAAGTATCTTGACTTGGTGAATAATTTGAAGTGCATTCTGGAATCCAAATAGGAAATTTTATACAGGAGTTAACTAATGCCAATACGTCTCTCTTGTGTATTTCTTTCCTGTTCTGCTGTTTCACTTTTCTCGGCAATTGAATTTAAGGAGGGATTTAGTTGTTAAAATAAGGCCAAACCCCCACCTTCAAAGAATCCATTCCTGATTCTGAATCAAAGACTTCCAGAAATATACAAACCACACCTGTAAAATTTCTATTGGCCCATTCTATAGAGGATGAAGAGAAAATCCAGAGCTGAATTGTTCCAACGTGAAATTACAAGTGGGTTGTGATACCCCCCTTATATGTTCTTTATTTTATAGTTCTGGCAAAAATTTAGAAGAGGCATGATTTACCTATGATTATCAATTACAACTATTTTTTGCTTTAATATTTAAACACAATTATAAGACTATTGTGCTTTAGCTAATTATTGTTGAATAGGGTCAGCTGCCATGAGTATTTAAGTGGACATCATTGGAAATTCCAAGGATGTAAACCTAGAGTGGAAAATTACATAATAAACTATCCCCCCACAAAGGTAGTAGGAAATAACTTTTATAAAAGTGCCAAGAAAATGGTAAGGATACCAGGTACCTGGAGCTGAGCTCAATTTGAGGAAATCTTTGTATTTTCATATACCGGTATTATATGTTAAAACAGAAAATGTGCAAATTCTTAATGCAGCTATGATTCATTTTCTGTGTTAGGGTCATTATGTTTTAAAAATGGAAATAATGACATGGCCTGCATTATAATATGTGATCGATGAGAGGCTTGACTTGCAACTCTCAGATCAAGTGGTTGCTAACAAATAGAGCATAACAAAAAATTGTTTAATCTTTACAATGCCTTAAATATGCCTTAATAAAGGACATTGTAATTACTTTTTTATCTTCTAGATAAAGATCTTTACTCTGTGTCATAATCTTATTCATCCACAATATCCTTCCACCTTAAATTCTGATGTAACAGTATGTTGCTGTATTTGCATTATTAAGCCTTTACCAAAGAAATATTAGATACCACCACTTGTTTTTATTTCATTAAGGTTGCATCGCTCCTACCAGAAAGGAATGCATTGAAAAATTGCTTGTAGTTGAGTTAGTGAATTAGTTATAGCAAGAAAATTGGGGTGCCACTTTCAGATGGAGCTGGGATTGTTGAAGGGAATCCTATTACTTAATTTTCTTGTGCAATAAACTGTTGCACAATTTAAGTGGCTGAATTTCTTCTAATCTCATTTGCACATATGGGTAGTCCTTGTCTTATTAACCATTTGTTTAGGGGCCATTTAAAGTTATAATGGCTCTGAAAATATGTGACCTGTGACCGATCCTCATGCTTACAACATCACAATATCCCAATGATCATGTGATCAAAATTCAGATGCTTGGCAACTGGCATATATTTACAATGGTAGCAGCATTCTGAGGTCATGTGATCACCATTGTGTCCGGTTGCTTTCCCTCATGTCGTTGGCATGCAGCCTACTGTCGACTTTTATTGCTACTCAGAACCACCCAGAGAGTCTGTTTGGAATGTCACGGTAGGCAGTTACTTGGGCAATCTGCTGGTCCAGACTTGTTCTGAAAAAATACACTAACAGACTCTCTGGTAAAGGGGGTAGCCTTCCAATGACTCTCCTAAATTTGCGGATGTGGTCTTTAATAGGGAGCCCCCTTTGCTTTAGTTCGCTGGGCTCATCTTCCGCATACAGGTCCTCCTCCATCTCCTCACACCTGGCCTCTAGCAGTCATAGGAAATTATATACGCCTTGCAGTTGGGGGGCTCTCCTCTTGTGGAGGGCTGCTAGCCATTCCCTTGCTTCTCCCTCTATCCCTCTATGATAATATTCACTATGGCTCTGGGGGATGAGTAGAGGTGTCCATACTATTCCAAGTGGACCTCAGCTGAATCAAGGAATAGGGCTAACTGGTCTGAGTTCCCATCAAACTTTCCTCTGAATTGGAGTAGTTCAATCAGCAGTGCCCTTCCCTCCTCCTTTCGGCCTCTGTATAGTGTTTGATATGTCTGAAGATACTCCTCAGTTCTAGTTCAGAGGGAGGGTGGAGATTGTCTGCCCTGAGCAGCCTGCCTGCTACGTGGGAGAGGCACTGGCTTCATCTTCCTTCCAATGGGTGGAGAAGTGGGGCTGTGTTAGCAGTTAGCAGTTAGACTTATATACCGCTTCATAGGGCTTTCAGCCCTCTCTAAGCGGTTTACAGAGTCAGCATATTGCCCCCAACAACAATCCGGATCCTCATTTTACCCACCTCGGAAGGATGGAAGGCTGAGTCAACCCTGAGCCGGTGAGATTTGAACAGCCGAACTGTAGAATTACAGTCAGCTGAAGTAGCCTGCAGTGCTGCATTTAACCACTGCGCCACCTTGACTCGCCACGTGTTTCCATGTGCTTCTCATCACCTCAAGAGGTTCCACTGCTTCCTCCCTCTCTTTTGGCACGCATAATGGCCTTTCTTCACGGAGGGTGACCCAGTCAAATTCCTCCCTCCGTTGCTCTATGGAACTTCCCAGGGGCTCCATTGGGGGCTTTGGGGGCCTGGCTTGATTCCAGTCCAGCATCCCCTCCACTCTTCCCAGCTCGCTTAGGGCCTTTCCCTTTTTCTGGGCTTAGGGGTGGGTGGGGGAGCTCAGCTTTAACTGTTTTTAGGGGTTGATTACTTATCTCTTCTTGATTCGCTCATCTCGGCTTTGATGTCTGATGTCTGCTATTCAGCTCTGTTCGGATAGCTGGCCTTTTGCCATGGTCTTCTGAGTCCCCCCTCGGCATCTCTGATATTTAAAAGCAAAAGATGGCTGTCTGTAAAGTACCCTAACGATGCCTGCTTCATAATAAGTAACTCGATATTGTAATACAAAAAGCAGTGATTTATTAACAGATTCATTAGGCATTTCTTATTCGCAGCCATCTTTTTTGCTTTCTTTATCTGCTTTTGAACTTTGCCCCTGTTCTTCCCTCCCTTCAGTCTTTGTCAATAAATCACGTTATCCAATAGCTTCATTCATCTCAACCCAGCTACTGTAATCTGAGATCCGGCTCCGCTGATGACGCTCTGCATGGAACGTCAACACAGAGAGTTGACATCATATCATGAAAAAAAATGTGAAATTCTATAAAAGCATTGTACTTTTTCCTCAAATTGTTTTTACAGCTTACTGCAAAAGTATTAATGTTCTGTTACATGAGGCTAAATTCTGTTCTCTTCTAGGTAATTTCAAATGCAAAGAATACAGTACAAGGCTTTAAAAGATTTCATGGTCGTGCATTTTCGGATCCTTTTGTTCAAGATGAAAAAGCTAAACTTGCTTATGAGCTTGTCCAGCTGCCCTCGCTCTCAGTTGGCATTAAGGTATGACCTTGAATGTGCACATATTATTTATTGCTTGCTTACAAAATTAGAATAGTTTGGCTATTTGAAAAAAGAGAAAAAAATAAAAGCAGAGAAATACAGATATTATTCAAATATTAAGAATTTAATTGTCTTCCTTAAAGAGATGGGAGTTACATGGCTTATAAATTATTGTTGGTCAGAGAGTCAGCCAGATGTTTAGACTGGATTTCTGTATACTTCCCAAGGACTTGAGATAGGCAGATGTTGTTTATTAATATTAAAGTTAAATAATATGGGATACAAGCTGTTCCTAGTAAAGTTATCTTTTGCGGTTCACTAAGATACATTATGTGAGATAAAATAAGTATCAGAATTTTTTCCCTTAAAAATATGAAAAATAAAGCGTACTGTTGATTGCTCTTTTGTGCTTATTTGTGACACGAAGGGAGAAATCTATTTAAACTTTAAACATGCTATTAAAGTTTTAGTTGAGAAAATTACTCTGGAAAATTAACAATTAAAATATCATTTTGTTTCTAACTAAGGTTAAATATATGGAAGAAGAACGAAACTTCACAGTTGAGCAGATTACAGGAATGCTTCTCTCTAAACTCAAAGAAACTTCAGAGAATGCTCTTAAAAAACCTGTAGTTGACTGTGTTGTATCTGTAAGTAATAAATCTGTATCTTTTTTATATTTTCTAAATTTAACTTTTCTAAATCTTATGAATGAAAATGAATGAAATTGATTACAGCTTGTTGCCTAGCTTCCTTAATGATGGTTTATCATATTCTAAGCCTCTCAGGCCAGACTGTTATTCTTTATTTACAGAAACTAAAGGAAAGATAGTATTTTGGCTTGTAAATATTGTGTCTGTGTCATTTGTCAACTATTATCTGTTAACAATTTTACTAACCAGATCATTTAACTTTTACTTCCCTATGCTATGTATGTGGAAAAATTAATAAATATGGATAAAAATCCAATTATTAAAAATATTTTATTTGAAAGGATTCTTTTTAAAAATCAACTTTTAAATGTCTTGTAGGTTCCTTGCTTTTATACAGATGCAGAGCGGAGATCTGTCATGGATGCTACGCAGATTGCTGGATTAAACTGCTTGAAGTTAATTAATGAAACTACCGCAGGTAGGTAGATAACTGCAAAGAATACTGAAGTATATATTTGCAAGTCTTGCACCCAAGTTAAGTTTTGTTTTAGTCTTAATTTCATTACATTGAATAAAGGAGAAATAATTCAAGATTTATTTCAATTCACTAAACTTTTTTTCTGTTACAGTCATTCAGATTTGTACATGGATAGAGTAATATTTTCACATTTTGATTACTTTTAAATGTGAAAGCACAGAAATTCACAAAGCAAATTAATCTACAAATTAAAAAAAAATGTTAGTTCCCCTTTTTCTCTAATGGAATAACTTTTTGTTGCAATTGAAATAGGACATAGCCTCTCTACATCCTCAGAAAATTTTAAAATACAGTATATTTTGGCAGTAGAAAGATTGAAGAAGATGAGGGAAAAGAACCATTATTACAAACTGTTTTGAGGTTTAGGTTTTTTTTAAACAGGAAGCAGTTTAGAGATACAGCATTTCAGTAAATAACTTGTAGAAATTATTAAAATTGGATTTCAGCCAAAGTATTCTGGAGATAAATCCTGAAAAGGGAGAATGGCTTTTCTATATGGCTTCAATGTTTCTAGAAATGTTCTCTACATATATACTTAGTTGGTACAATTTATTGTATAAATTGTTTTATAGTTTGAGATTTACAGAGTGTTAGGAAAGTTCTGTCTATAATAAAAAGGTAATTTATCATGTAGACCTTAATCCATATTAAGAATATTTGTTTTCTGATAGATGATTGCAATTGTGCACTAAATGTTTTAAGTGGCATTCTTAACCAAAAATTAAAAGAATTCTTAAATAGAGGATCATGAAATTTTTGTATGTTTCTGTCTAGTTGCTCTAGCCTATGGGATCTATAAACAAGACCTGCCTGCATTAGAAGAAAAACCAAGAAATGTGGTATTTGTTGATATAGGGCATTCAGCTTATCAAGTATCTGTATGTGCATTCAACAAGGGGAAGTTGAAGGCAAGTATAAAGTCTATTCATGTTAATTATGATATTATTGCTACCATTTTAAGTATTAGAGCTGAAAAATGTGGATGTGTTGATGCATTTGATAAATAAAGCTAGCAATTAAAAATAAAGCTAATCAGATGACCGCAAAGAAGTACGATCCTTCCACCACCACCTTCCGAATGCTCTCAGATCTAATCCTTCCATCGCCCCGACCTTCCTGCCAGAACTGATGAAACTTCTTAAAAAAGAAAAGAAAAAAAACCCAGTCCCGTTGCCTTTTGAAAAAAACACCTTTGAGACATAAAGCTAATGGTATTAACTTTCTTGTAGATTATTTTATTTAAAGGAAAGTTGTAGTAAGAAACATCACAGTAACAGGGTTTGCACATTGCAGTAAGCCACTGCCATAACTTACAATGTTATTTGTATTGTTATGGCATAGTAGTTTAATGTTATGGCACATTAAACATTTTTGTGTTTATGGCTGAGTGTTTTGCATTATTCAGTATAGTATTAGTAATTGAGCAAACCATGACTTAATGTAATATATCAACTTGGAAACTGCCTCCTTATAAAAAGCAATATAATGAACTAAACTGCAGCGTTTGCTTTATGTGTGACTATGAGAGGATCAAGTAGCAGAGGAGGTAATACTTAACATCTATTATATTCTTTAGTGTTTGTAATGCCAAATATTCCTAGATCAATCGATTCATTCATTCAATTTCTATAGCTGCCAGTCTCAATCAGTGGCTCTGGGTAGCTTATACAGTAATTTAAGAATATAATTAAAATACTAAAACCATTTTAAAACAATAGAGATTTGAAAAAATATTTGAAATCTTTCTGTTTTAACCCAATTACAGTAAAGAAAAGGCTCCTAGGCTGATATAAAACATATTGAACAGCAAGTGCACATTCTGTCTCTGCCAGACGTGTGTGAGAGAACCAGTTATATGCAATATTGCCTGACTAGTAGTTGTTTTTTATTTATTTGCTATAAGGAAATTAAGTGCACAGGTTGTATGATAATGTCATTGTCCCTGTGTTTTTTGTGTGCTATATTTTGATCAGGTTGCCAGGTACATAAATGTTATTGCGTGCTGCATTACAGATTATGTTTCCTCACAGCTGTTTATTTCATATACATGTATTCCTCGACTTATAACAGTTCATTTAGTGACCGTTTAAAGTTACAATGACACTGAAAAAGTAACTTATGATAATTTTTCATACTTACAACTGTTAACATCATTTCCATGATCACATTATTAAAATTCAGTTGCTGAGCAACATTCATATTTATGATGGTTGCAGTGTTCTGGGATCATGTGATCTCCTTTTGCAATCTTGTTGTTAGTTGCGAAGTCATGTCTGACTCATCGTGACCCCATGGACAATTTTCCTCTAGGCCTTCCTGTCTTCCACCATCCTCTAGAGTCCATTTAAGCTCACGCCTACTGCTTCAGTGACTCCATCCAGCCACCTCATTCTCTGTCATCCCCTTTTTCTTTTGCCCTCAATCTTTCCCAGCATTAGGCTCTTCTCCAGTGAGTGCAATCTTATGACAAACAAAATCAATGGGGAAGACAAATTCACAACTGTAGCAGGAATGGTGGTAAAATGGGGCAAAACTCACTTAACAACCATTTCACTCAGCAATAGAAAATTGGGGCTCAATTGTGGTCGTAAGTCGAGGACTACCTGTATTGCTCACTTTAACCCTGAATAAAAACAAATATTGATTGCCTGTATTGGAACTAAAATAAATAATAGCACTGTTTTGTGGTTTGTTGAGTGAGTATGTACCCATCTAGAACATAGATTTCCAGATGGTTAATTGAAAGAGTGGGTTTCATTTGCGATTTCAACATTACAAAACAAATTATCTTTTTGAAAAGAAGACATGCAGAATATGATCTATACATAGGCAAACATCCTGAAATTATTTACCATTAAATCACACTTGCAGTTAAATTTGCGTTGATGTGAAAGATTGATCAGAAGTGAAAATAGATGGGGCAAAAAGGACAATTACTGCAGAGTAGAGTGTCTTTACTGCAAAATTTGAAAATTAGAACATTAAAAACAGTCTCCAACATTGTAACCCATACACCATGAACAATATAAAGTTCACAGTTCTTTTCTAATTTCTAAATATGTGGCCCCATTTCAGTGATCCAATAAAGAATCAAAGTAACATTTCATTTAATGAATGTTTCATTTCATGAACAATATGAAACAAAGGGACAACAAATTAGAAGTTTAGCATTGACTGTGACTGTTTATTCCCCCTGGAAAAGTGACAAGCATGGACAAAGTGACAAAAACTGAGAGGAGCTGACGATAGCACGTACTATCTGTGTGCAGGATGGGAGTGGCTAGTCCTTCTCTCAGTTAGTTTATTTAAATAAGCTATATATGCTCATTAGAATGTAGTAAATGGAAATGAAATTGGAGTAAATTCGCTACACTCTCCAGACAGGTTAATAGCTGCTTAACTATATGGTACTGTAGCCATTAATTTACATTAAGATAATACAGGAAGCTCTGAGTGTACCAGGTGGTTTAGTTATACTACAACCATATGCCTCTGAATAATTTACTAAGTATAACTAGCATGGCTCAGTATATTATGAAAAAGCATTCTCTCTGCATAAATGATCCTGTAATTGACAGTTGCTAAGGACATAGTCTGGTACAATGTTTTCTACATTCTGGTAACTTCTTTCGGCTTGGAAGTGTTTCTTTATTGATATTTAAGTAGGATTGGTGTGTGTGTGTGTGTGTGTGTTAGTGAATAAACATGCATACTATGTGGCTGCTGTAATTTGTTAGATTAGTACTTTATATGACCCTAAACTGGATTCATTATTGGTGATTGAATTAATCGGCTGATTAATAACTTGCCATTTGTTTAATAGATAATATACTTTTTCTTTTTATTGTGAAGGTACTTGCAACAGCATTTGACACAATGCTCGGTGGCAGGAAATTTGATGAAGTATTAGTAAATTATTTTTGTGAAGAATTTGGGAAAAAATACAAACTAGACATAAAGTCCAAAATTCGGGCCCTTTTAAGATTATCTCAGGAATGTGAGAAGCTGAAGAAACTGATGAGTGCAAATGCTTCTGACCTGCCCCTGAACATAGAATGCTTCATGAATGATATTGATGTCTCTGGGACTATGAACAGGTATTGCAGATTAATATACCTCAGTAATGAAGTTCTAAAAACTTTTTTTCTTAAATCAGCGTTTTAAGTATGTGAGCACACTTCCTTGCTTACATCTTTATTTTAATTGTTTGGCTAAATGGTATAGGTAGGTTTTGCTTAAGAATGCTAATTGGGGACTGAAAACTCCATTGTTAAGTGACATAATTGTTAGTTGAAAAATACCTCATGATTGCACCATTTAACCACGTCAGTTCTAGCAGTTTTCAGTTGCCATTTTTAAGTGAGGAGTGTGTTAAGCAAGGACCTCACTTGACCACCTCTTGTGACTTCCTGCCAGCTTCCCCATTGACTTTTCTTGTCAAAAACCAACAGGGAAGGTCACAGATCATGATTGTGTGGCGGTCCTAAGTACAAGGATTGGTCATAACTACTCTTTGTTCAGCATCACTGTAAGTTCAAACTATTGTTGAATAAGTGTTTGGTAAATGAAAACTACCTATAATAAAGGGAATGGAAAAGTGGACAATTATATATTAGAATTAGGAAAATTACTAACAGTTTCTACTATGGTTTTTTTTATCTCTCAATTCTTCTCCCAGAGGTGGATCTGAGGTTTTGATAATGTGAATTAATTAGGAATGCTGTTTCTATCATCTTGGAGTGATGTGTAGGTGTAGATGTAATCTCCAATTTGCTGCCAAATTACAGTTTTAACATGGAAAAGGGAGAAGAGTATTAAATATATAAGGAATAATTGCATTACACAATGTTTAATTAAGTTCAGCTTAGCTTGTCTTCTCTGGCATAGGTGGTGGATGGGGGGGGAGACTGTATAACTCAGAGAAAGCAGGTTATGTACCCCAATTACAAATAGTCATTGTATTTATAAATGTATATTTCTTTAAATAAATTAGTCTGCAAATGCTGTACTATTGGCAATAGCACATCCAAAACTAATACAAAATGTTTTAATCATTAATTCAAAACCTATGACCATAATTCCGTTGTGTGTGTGTATATCTATATATTTATATTTATCCATCTATCCATGTCTGTGTCTGCCTGCCTATGTATGTATGTATGTATGTATGTGCGTGTCTGTCTATATATATCTATCTATATATATATATATCTGCTATGTATTTAATCCTTGATTTGTGCTCTATAACCTTGAAAACATAAGTGACAATTTTACTGTAAGTTGGAATGAGAAAGAGAGGAATGCTTAATCTCTTAATATGAAGAAACTCAATTTCTGTGTGGCATGCTGTGTGGAAATTTGTTTTTATGGATTGTGGGAATGAAATAAAGAAGCATCTTACCTAAACAAACAAAAAAAAACCTGAGGAATACAGCAGACTGAACTATCTGAGTTTTGGTTTATTATCTAAATATAACTTACTAAATGCAGCTTTGTGAATGTTGTCAACTTGGGGGATTATTTAAGAGACTTTTATTAATCTTTAGGCTTTTTTTTCATTTTCCATTTCCACCCATAGAGGTAAATTCTTAGAGATGTGTGATGATCTTTTGGCCAGAATAGAGCCACCTCTTCGCAGCGTCTTAGATCAAGCTAGTAAGTATACATTTTGTTATTTGTAGTACAGTACAGAACTAATAAATATAACTACAGAAACACTGAAGTGCATAATAGAGCAATTTATATTTAGTAACTTCTGGATTAAATAAAATGAGCATCACTAATAGTCAATGATGCAGAAGTTAGGATTAGGAAGGTTCAGATTCAAACACTCAATCAACCATTAAGTTATCTGGGTGACTTTGGTTACTTTCTATCACTCAGTCCAATAACTTTACAAGGTTGAGAATAAATTTTAAAGTATTAAGAATGTTTGGCAAAAGATGGCATTGAAATCCAAAAAACAAAAGATATTATTTGGAAGTGTCACAATTCTCCATCAGAGTACAAGTGTATCTTCTGAAGTTTGTATTGCTAATTATATATTCATTCATTCATTCATTCATTCATTCATTCATTCATATTCATTATATTGATTCCAGAATACAAATACTTTTGTTTTCATATATTTAGAATGCTAAATATAAAACAGCCTGGACTTTAAGTAGAAAAAAAATACTGTTATTTATAAGGACTGTGTTCTTTGACTGGAAATTTAGCTCTGTTTTCATGTCTAGAAAATACTAGCCACATTATTACTCACATATTATGTTGCCCAGTTACACACTCTTTGTATGTACATAATACCAACCCTCAAATATTTCCCTTCCCAATAAACGGGCCCTCAAGATATATGAATATTCAGTATCATCCAATCAAGATCAAAGACATATTTAAAAAGAAAAACGCTCTCCTAAACATCTGGTAGACAGGCCTGAAGGATTGCTTTGAGGGCAGTATATTCCATAATTTTTACATCAGAGAAGATTTAGCAGAATAACAGAGTTGGAAGGGACCTTGAAAGTTTTTTACTCCAAGCTCCTGCTCAGGCAGGAAACCCTATACCAGTGGTGGTTCGGCACCAAGCGCCAGAACCCAGAAGAGACCAGCTGGTCCGCTGTGCATGCACACCAGCCAGCTGGTCTTCGTGCGAAGAACCCGGAAGAGAGCAGCTGGCCGGTGTGTATGTGCATGACGGGACTCAGAAGCAACTGGCGATGGGGCGCGTGCCCATAGAGGGCTCTGTATGCCATCTCTGGCACACATGCCATAGGTTCGCCATCACAGCCCTATACCATTTCAGACAGATGATTGACCAGTTTTAAAAACCTCCTTTTCTACTTGAGAAAAACCTACTTGAGAAAGTAGATAGATACAGTTTAAAATTACAAGTTACTTTCCTCATTCAAATCCAAATGGAATACTTCTAAAACATTTCTTTTAGTTTGAATTTATTGTATGTGTATTCCCAGACCGATGTGCCAATGTTGCTTGCATTGCTTAAAATGCCATTGTAGCATATATTGAAACCTGTGGGATTCTACTCATGCAGATGAATTTAGATTTAGAATGACTCTTACTATTTTTTTCTTCACAGAACTAAAGAAGGAGGATATCAGTGCAGTTGAAATAGTAGGAGGCTCTACAAGAATACCTGCTGTGAAAGAGCGGATCAGTAAATTTTTTGGTAAAGAACTCAGTACAACTCTGAATGCGGATGAAGCTGTCACACGAGGCTGTGCATTACAGGTAAGAATAGTGGTATGCTGAAAAGAATGTTTTCTGCTACAAATGTAGTTTTTAATTAAACACTGATTAACCTTTAGTTTGAAAGGAGCTAGAAATAAATGTTATGGTTGAATTGGAAAGAAATATTGAGTATTTGTTAGGAAATGCATTTTGCTCCTGCAGTAGTCAAATGAGTTTTTTAATGCAAATTTATATAGTCCAAAACCCAAAAACAGTTGCACGGACTAGGATATGTACAGTGTAACATTTTTCTCCTTTCCCCTCCTCTGCAGTCCCTTCCTGCCCAAATATCTAGCACATTTTGGGGTCTTCCTTTCAGATGTGTGAGCAACTCCAGAAAAAAGAGAAATAAGCATATATTCAAATATTTGCAATTGGCTTGGTTTGGTTTGGTTTGGTTTATTCGACTTGTATGCCGCCCTATTCCCAGAGGGACTCAGGGCGGCTGACAAACCAGAAGGGAAGGGACACAATACAAAAAAGTAAAAAAGAAAAAAACGAACAACAATACAAAACAATTTAAAAAGTCACAACACGCACAATTCGAGTAGGGGTGGAACTCAGGAGCCCCAGGCCTGCTGGAACAGCCAGGTCTTAACGGCTTTTCGGAAAGCCTGAAGG